TTCAGAATAGTCTTCCATACTCCTGGAAATTCCACTGTCAATTACACCCACTGAGATGAAGAAGAAATGACTCTGATCTCAGCACTGAACTGGTAACAAACAGACTTTGAGTTTAGGCGGATGCAGATGTTATTGAAATATGCACAGTGTAACGTAAAATAGCCCAAGGAAGTCTATAGTTTAATCTGAGTTAAATTCCTATGTCAATAGACAGTGTACAAATAGTCATTCAGAGTGTTTTGTGCTTCTAGGCTAGTCTTCAGTGTTCTAGAGTGTTAGGACCAGAAAAGGTTAATTTATTGATAAAACTTTATTTAACTATAGGTGTCATCATCATCAGTGGCTCTAAAACCCAGTGTGGGTCTTGGCCGCCCCTGTGGAGGTTTCCTAGTCTTTAAAGCGTGCATTTGTGAGTAGTGAGTGACCAGCCCACTGACTCTGCACAATTTCTACTCAATCCTGATTTGATTGCTAGAGCCATCTAGCAGTGAATCAGGAGACTTGGGTGAGAAATGGCCACTGAATTTGCTTACGAAACATCTCATATGCTCTTTCTTTTAAATGCTGTAGATCTATGATATGGGACCGCCGGCTTTATCCCCCTCCGAAGGAATTTGTGCTATGGATTTTTATCACCCTTAAAAATCCATTGACATCTGGGATTGAACCCGCGAACCTTGGGTCCAGTGGCGAGCATGCTAACCACTAGTTCACCGAGGGCGACTTAACTATAGGTATACATAAGTAAATATTTATATATAATGTATATAATAGCTTTGTTTGGGCTACATATAGTCCTAATATATTTGTCAGTTTAACAGTAAAATATCGTACATTACCAGTCAGTGTCTTAGAGATGTCAACAACTTTCTCCTTATTTTGAGATGAAGTTACAGATACTACGAATGCCAGTCAAAGCTGTCTGATTCTCATCTTGTTTATTGAAGACTGTTTTTGTCTACCTGATATGTTTTCAGTGACTTTATAGGTTTGAGGGAAAAAGTTCTTTCCATTAAACCAAGAAAATATGTTGAGAGTGAATTTTACCTGATACTACACACGTAGACTGTCATAGAATCTAGCACATTTATGAAGTAATCCTGAAGTTTCTGTAACCCTAATCTACTCTTCTCCACATCAAAAGCAAGGTTTTGTTTGACAAGGTCAATTTGCCGCTGAAGTGTGTCATCCAAATCTTTCGTAATGGCTGGGTGTATTTCCAGGTCACTCACAGGAATACGTTGGGACTCTGGCAACTTCGCATTCCTGTGAACACATGCACAGTGAAGTTCACAGTGTTAAAAATGTTTCATACAAAGCATCAAAACTACAGACAAGATTCATACAAATTTATATGGGCATGTGTATTTAACATTTTTAATAATAAACATTCTAATTTCAAATTTTAAAATATGTTGGGAATGAGTGCAAGGATGCTTTGACCTTAGTCCAACCCAACAGGAAGACCGTACCCACAAGCCAATCACATGATTTGTCTTGAAGCTTGTCACACTGCAGTGTTTGTTTAGTGCAGAAAATTAGAATGACTACAAAATGCCAGTGCTTGAATTAAAAAGTTAGGTTATGTATAGACTGATGTTTCCACATCTGTCACAAAAAGTAAACTTATAAGTCACCAGTCTGTTAAAATGTGGAAAGAAGAACATTTACTAAAGTATACTGATTGATTTATATATTTTGTATTTAATTCAATGTAGGAATCTATAACCTGTTTTGAAAAAAAAAAGAGATTTTGTGCTATTAAACCATAGCACTGTAAAACTGGGTAATGTATTTTCTTTCACATACCTTATACTAGTATATTTTAATTTCACATATATTTACACTTTCTAAATATTAATACAATTATTAGTTAAATCTTTAAGTCCAAATGTAACCACCATTTAGATATCCTATTCCCATATGATAAAGGTTAAACAAAAGTAATTGTCATGCTGTATCATCTTGTAACTCAAGAACGAGTGCATGATTTTTATCGGATGTTGTGTTGGAGGTTCTTGTCTATACCACCAGTTTACACAATTTATTAGGGGACATCAAAATTTAGCATTCACAAATAGAAAATTTAGAGGCAATAACAGAGCGATGTACCAGGATTGTTACACTGTGTATTTCCTAAGTTGTCTATTAAGACGTCACAAGTAAATGAGAGAAACCAGTAGTTATTACCACTCATTCTTACCTAAAGGTGATGTCCCTAAACTTTATTTTTAGGTCTTCTAATCTCTGGAGAACCTGCTGTTTACTCTGGTTGGTTATTGCTATCTTCTTGTCATGTTCTATTTTAGCCTTTGTTTCCTCTAAACTTAAATATTTTGTGTCTTCAATGTCTACAACTTTCTCTTGAATAGGCTGAAATTCACAAAGAAACTCTTGGAATTCTTATGTTCAAGGTCAAATGTTAAATTATGAATAATTTTAACCACTGTTATGGTACTGTTACATCTTCAAGAGGAGAAGTTTCTAAAATATTAAAGGATACCTGTTACAGTGCCAAATTCTACATTTTATAGTCAGATAATAATAATAATAATAATAATAGTTATTTAAAAAATGGTTTCAGCAGAATCTTCCTTTATTAGGCACACAATAAAAATGCAAAAACAATTTACTCATAATCTTAAAGTTTTGCATATTGTGCAGTGTATTGATATATGAAATCATGCATACAAACAAAACTGTTTGAACTTGAAAAGACACTAAATAATAATAATAATTGTTATACCCCTCTAGAATAAGATCTCAAACATATGACAATGCTAATACAGAAGGTCCCTGATACAATTCAGAATCGGTTCAGTGACAGGCCTCTAAAAATCTTGCTGTAAGGATTTACACAGCATCCGGATTTAATTTCATACATATTTTAGTGCCTATTTTAATTTTACTATCTACTTTCATGATATACAAAGGCAGATAATAGCTTGTAATACTTTTTATTCTTTATTTCCTATATTTTTTATCCTAGTTGAGCTAAGCATATTTTCAGAAAATACCTGATCTTGGCAAGATGCCAAAACACGTAGTGTTTGTGGTTTTACCATACGTGATATATAATTTAGTATACACGTGGTGTTCATGGTTGTACTATGTGTATCTGGTATATAAATATATAAAATGAGACATGTAACAAAGGGATAGGCTATCAGACTATATAAATAAGACCAATACCAAATAGTAAATGAATTCTTCAGACTTACGAGTCCAAGAGATGCAGTAGTTTCCCTCTGGGGTATGACGTAATCTCCGTCGTCCTCAAAATTTACTTGGTATGAGAAAATATTCCCATCGTCTCCACAGCTGAACATGAAGCGCTGATCATAGTTGAAACACATACAGCGAATTCTGCCATTTGTGTTATCATGCATAGAATAGAGCCAGTAGTCAGACAAGTCAGTATGGTCATTTGGATTAACACGATTCACTCGGATTTGTCCGTTTTCCATCCCCAGTATCAGATACTTTTTATTATGGCTGTGTGAAGAATATTATTTTTAAATTAGTGTAATGGCCTAAATTAATATAACCCTACTATAAAATAAGTCTAAAGAGAACCGTACAGAAGTGCATTGTTAAAAGGACATGAGAAAGAAAAATTTAGTGGTATTTGTCAATAGCAGGGTGAAATTTGACTCAAACAACTGTAGCAGGAGGCAAGTCTCCAGCATCAACTACAGAAGTGGAAACTGATATTAAAATATACTGTTCTGATTATTCTTAAAGAGAGTCAAGTCTTAGGAAATGTGTCGAATAAGTTGTTTCTAACTTTAGATTTTGTTCCGGATGACTTTTACTTACAGTACATTGGTTGCCTGTGTTACTGCAATACAACACACTACATTACGCTGCAGCCACAGATCTGCATTCTTAAAAGGACATGAGAAATAAAAATTTAGCAGTATTTGTAAATAAGGAGGGTGAAATTTGACTCAAACAACAGTAGCAGGAGGCAAGTCTCCAGCATCAAATATTTGCTACCTTTGCTCCAAGGACAATATTCCTCTCATCAACTGGATAATTATTCATTCCATTCGTTGGATAAGAAACCTTGTTTCCCTTGGATAAGTATCTCTGTTTTGCTTTAAATAAGTATTCCTCTTATCCATTGGATTGTAACTACAGAGTTCTTACTTCACTGTAGTAAACTTTCATATTATATGTAAGATTTGAGGTTTTCACAGCAGTGAGTATGAAGATTTCTGTGAATATTCATTGCCCTGATGACGGAGGCAGTATGACCTCAGAAACGTTGGTAAACATCGACCAGACTACACAGCGCAACAACCCAGAAGACAGAAATCTTCATACTCATCGCCCTGATGACGGAGGCAGTATGACCTCTGAAACGTTGGTTAACATCGACCAGACTACACAGCGCAACAACCCAGAAGACAGAAATCTTTCATATTATATCTTTCATTCATGATTTTAGTATTAACTGTAATAAAGCGGCAAAGTTTCAAAATTATGCCATAACTTCATGGTCACGTTGTCTGTAGGAACCTGATATGATTAAAAATATTAACAAAAATTTTATTTACTTAATAGTAAAGTTTCAGCAGCTATTTATGAGGAATGGGCTTTTTATACACTGCAAGTTGACTTCCAAATGTTTGTATGTTTCCTGTTTCACTTGTTATTGTGTTCGTTCCATTCAACATGCTTATTCTTAGTGATTTCGCCGTGAAGGTACATTTTAAAGTATATCTGCCTACTTCATGAACATTCTACAATATTGAAACACTCAATCCTAATGCAGTGGGAATGTTGTGCTGTCAACTTACTTATACAGGTAGCTGTAAATCTGGATATCATCCGCGTCTGTTATCATAGTGCAGCATGTAGGTTCCTCCTCATCCATCACCATTTCATACATGTAACCTGCATCATAACCTGATACAGAGAGCCATACTGTATCCTTTGGAGTGTACAGACCAAACAGAATTGCATTGGGCACCTGAGGAAAATATAATGGCTCCAACTCCTCTTCAGGTTCTGAATCAGCTGGAGAGACAAACAACTTTAAGAGAATGCCAGTATAATCGTATCACTAAACCATTCAGATTCTGTCAACAAAAAAAGTAGCATCTAGTGTCTTCCTTTAAAATAATTTAACTGGTCCAGAAATTCCCTACTTTACTGAATCGAGAAGTTCATTACATTGTCCGCAAAAGTCTTCCGTTATGTACCGCCTGAACCATTCCTGTTATTCTGCCCTGAAAATGGAGACAGTTTGTTCCTGTGAAATGTTGGTAATTGTCTCCAAGACAGCAACATAACCCAGAAGACCACAAATGACAAATTCCACACTTGGAAAATATATAAAATATATGTACTCTGACTCTGAAGAGCCATTTACAGACTTGTCATGGGGTACATGTGGCCTGAAAACCAAACTTTTCATGTCACCACTTCCCTCACCTAATGGTGGAGTGGAAAAACTTTGTCCCCAGAAATACAGACATAATTATACCTAGAAATGTTTCTTCATCAACCTCCGTTCCAAAATTCGCATTCTTAATTTTTTCCATCTCTTCTCTTTTTTTCTCTAGATTTTTCAACTTCTGTCCTTTTTCTTTCAATTTCATGTTCTTTCGGATCTGTGATTTGCAGCTTCGGAATGTAATGCTCCTAGTTTCAGTTTTTACGAGATGGAAAGAGACGTCGGTATACTTCTGAGGACATTCAGGAAGGGTCACTTCCACGAGTGACCCAGCATTGCAGCATACCAGCAGCGTTGTAATCTGTAGCAGAAAGTGTTTGAGAATCAATCAGTAGTAAGCTCTTTTTATCAAGCATAGACTTAGAAATGTGAATATAAACTTGCGTTTTTTTTTAATGTTTACTACAGTGTTACATAGCGAATCACAGTTGTGACATGTAAAGTCTTGGGTTAATTTCTACTTAGAATAATGATTCTGCTTGCAATTAGTGCTTTTAATCTAATGCGGTATAACATGGTTAAATGAAAATTAAACTACTTGTGTTGCATTACTAAAATATGATGACTAAACAGAGTTTAAAGTAATTAGTATGAAGGTTTTATAATATGAAGAATTCTGAGCATAACATGGGATTAAGCCAATATGTCCAGTGCAGTGTTTTGTCTTTAAAAGAAACTTCTCATAAATTTCTTGTTGCCATACAGAAACATAAATAAATATAGCCTACTTAAGAAGGTAATATTATGAGGCCATGTTCTGTATTGATATATTTGATTAAAAACTGCAAATACCATTCCGAAATTTGCATCACTTCGTAAAGTATTATAAAAAAAATTGCAGTTTTTAATTTATTTATGCAATATTAGAAATAAAAATTTAGTCATGCCACTGTAACATGTTCTTATTTATTAACAAACTGACAAATAAATACAGATTTAATGTTGCAAAATTTCAGGCTCTGTGCAAGGTATTTTATGATTTAGAAATTAAAATGTTACTAAACTTGTCCTCTACTCCACATCTATCAAGTCAGTATGTAAATGTATCAAAAAATTAAATTTGAGGTTTTTCACAGTGCTTAAAATGGGTTCTGGCACTCTGAACTCTTGTAGGTAGTTACCAACATTTCAAAGGGAACTGTCACCTCAATTTTCAAGGTAGAAGATGCAAGCAATGTGTTCCTTCATGGCAACAGAACCCGGAAGGTAAAATGTCACACAAAAGCGTAAGTGGATGTACGAAAAGGAGATGGATGTTAACAAATATCAGATTTTCTCTGAACTTATATGACATTTCGGTAATTAAATAGTAATTGACGGTGGAAAAAATATTTCATGCACGAAACAGTCCGAAGAGGACCTACCGTATCAGGTTTCCAGTTGAGGAATGTAACAGCACTGGGTACGATCACAAACCCTATCGGTACCAATGAGATGTATTTAGCGCTTTGTGCAATCTGATATACAAAAACTGTAGAATCTTCACTTCCAGTTAATAATATTGTTCCCTTATTATTTATGCTCAGTGCTGTAACTGGTTTGGTATGTGGTTTTGTAGTCTGAATTAATGTTATGAGTTCTTCCCCAGAGCTGGTGTTTTTCATTTTTTCTTGTAAGGATACGACTGTTACTCGCACTACGCCATCACTAAACCCAGCTATCAGCATAGTTCCTGTCTTGTCCACCTATGGAAAGAGGAATGGTAATATAGGTAAATGGTTCATATGTAATTAGCCCCAAATCAACAGAAATGTGTATCTCTGCAAGTTCGCTAATTTTTAATTTTAGTAATTAGATAAAATGGTTAAAATTACAGAAAAGCATGAATTCTTCAACAACACATATTGTCACAAATTTATCAAATCATTTACTGAGTATCAGTCATAGTAATTTGTATGTGATATACAGGAAAACTTTGTCCCACGCAGTAGTGGTTAAAGTACATGAAAAATATCTAAGCACGGTGTAAAGGAGGCAACACGGTAAACAATAAACATTTTGAATAATTCCCTTGACTTAGGACCCATTAATAAGAAAGCGTAGAAATATATTATATACAGTGAAGACTGAAATAAAAATATTTATCTTAAAAAATCTGTCCTTTGTTACCCAGCAGCCCTGAGGATGAGAGCAGAGATTTTTCTCGAAACGTTGGCAGAAGCTATGGTTTATTCACCGTTCAGCCACCTGACGCAGCTTGTAACCCAAGAATCATTCACAAAATTCATCAATGAGGGAGAGAAACATCGAAGAGGGTTTGTGGGCAGACAAGAATGGAGAAGAAAAATTAGAATGTAAAATGTTAAATCCAAATGTAACCTTGGGTACCGGAAAAATGTATAAACATTGTGAAACCGGAAATATATATTGAACATGATACTGAGCCAGTTCCATTAACCTCCCATCTACCCATTCTATCACCCTTAGATTCAGATTTGTGTTAGCCTCCTTTCTTTCCATGAAAATACTGTATGCATTTCTTGTTTCCTATCTGAGCTGTGTTTAACCTTACATCCTTCACTATTTGAAAATTCCCTCTGTGGTTACTCTTTTGAACAGAAAATTGGCTACTTCATTGTTGTGGGTAACTCACATTTAATGGCAGCCATAGGAGGCACGAGCCTTGTGCCGGAAATCTCTTAACAAGGCGAAGCTTCTTTTCAAGATAATTGTAGATGAAGAGTCTCCCATCCTTTCCAAGTGTTGCAAAGTGTTCATCCACTGGTGAGGCAGCCATGTCCATCACTGGTCCAGCATGACATATCAAGAGCTGATGAGGAGGCTGTCGAAGAGAGCTCTTCACGTTCAGGTCAAATTTCCATATACCACCATTGGCATCCTACAGTGAGAATTAAATCCCTTGATAAATGATGACTCTTACACAGTGCTGTACATACTGTGCAAGAAATGCCTACATATTAGCAGAAGCAATTTTTAACATTCCCCACTTAATGGTACCTGCACCTTGTCGTGGTGGTGGGGCTTGAGTACCTCAGTGATCCCAAGAGCTACTGGCAGGGCCTCCCTAGCCAGATTGGTCGAGGGGGAGAGGTCAGACTAAGACAGGTACCCTGGTCCTCCAGGTTGGGGGTTGGTCGCAAGGCTAACAACCTTGCACCGTAAAAAGGAAGACGTTTCGAAACCTCGATCAAAGCCTCGGACAGACGGACCTAACAGAGGACTGATTGGAAGAGGAGAACTGAGGAGGCCATGGACCGAATACGGACTGGAGAGCCATAGAAGAAGAATGAGTGTGTGTGTATGTGCACGCGCACATGTGTGCATGTCACGTATGTGTGTGTGGATCTACACCCCCATTTACCTTACATCTTCGCTTTTATATTGTATCCTATGGTATTGATATTGTTTTATTCTTTATAAACTTGAATGTTGCTTTCAGCACTGAGACTTATGTTACTACTATGATATATGTTCAGTCACAATTGGAATATCTGAATTTTAAGCCTTGAAACCCTAAAATTCACTGTGCCATTAGTGAGTGCTTTTAATTCTTGTAAAGTACTCGCTTATTCTTTATCCATACCTGACCATACCAGAAGGTGTCTTCAGGATCTTTCAAGATCTTCACAACACACATGAGAGCAGCGTGGTTGTCATCATTCTTAATTTCAAACTCCATCCTTGGCTCCACCTCAATGAAGCGGTTCTCTTCTGGTGGGTCTGCTGCATCTATTGTGTCAAAATACCACATCCTTATGAATCCATCAAGCCCTGGAACAGAAGTATCAAATGTAATTAACATCAACATATGAAATTCCTTTCAAGAAATCATGTCCGCCAAACAAGTTGGATCAAGTCGTAATACTCGAGACTCATATTAAGAAGTTGCCTGATTTGAATCTTGGCCAGAATACCAACTAGCCTGACTGGGGGTTTCCCGTAGTTCTTTCAGGTGAATCCTGGAGCAATACCTTGAAATAGGCCACTACTACTTTCTTAAATTCTTTTCAAATTCACTGAGTGCAATCGTACTCTTATATAGGCCTCAGATTTTGCAGGACAAAATTTTTGCAACTTTTGTTAAATAATTATGATTGAATCCTTCGTGTATTTTCTTTATGTTCTAAATCCTTTAAGTTCAGCGAAACAGTCATACACAGTTTCAAACTTACTCCTTACCAACAGTTATAAGATTTCCACTTTCAAATTCAAACTGTGTTATTGGAGCAGAATGACAGCTTTTTTTCATCTTTCTTGAAACTTCAACTTTGATTAGTCCTTCTTCCCACAGCAACATGTTGCCCCACTCACAGCCAGATATCACCTAAAAAACATAAATGTGCGTTCACTGTTACTAATTGTCATTGTCATTCTTTGTCCGTAAACTATTCCGCTTCAAGATATCTGTGAAGTTGAAGAGTGCCAAGAGAACTGGTTTACAGCACATACTGAACGAGATTAGAATACCCAAATAAAATACAGAGAGGCCAGTTGCACCAGGAGGGTTTAGTAACTGAATAATTAGGTCTAAACCCGACTGCTGAAGAAATTAATGAAACAATGTAACTGACGTAATGCATCAATCGCTTGGAAACATTTAATGAAATCTTACATCATACTCTCTAATTTTAATTTCATACTAAATAATTCCTGCATAAGAAATACCTTTGCATCTGGAAGTGCGAGGAAGCCAATAATATCACTCGTCTCTGTCCTTCCAAACTTTCCAAGTGATTCCAAAAGCTTATAACCTGTGTAAGTTTTTACAATCTTCCAGAACTTAATATGACCTGAACCTGGAAACAAATTGAAATTGACAGCACGTTGTTGAAATCTCAGTATTAGAATTATGTCCACATATCTTTGAGCATTTAATACAGCAATATAGTTGTTGTTTGTGCTGTGATCCAGTGTATAGTATTCTGCCATCTTTCTAAAATTTCTTCCTCGTTTCAAGGCAGAAGCATGCCAAGTTTCTTGCATATTGGTTCATTCGCTGTTCAGGTATATGCAATCGTACACATTCCCACAATGTAATTTTACATATGGGATATTCTTGTAAGGAATCCCCACAACAGCACGCTAGAATAAAGTATCAGTTAATTTTTCTGAACTAACAGGAAGCAGAATATGCAGGAATCTCAGACTTTCTGGTTCATAATATTACAGTAATAATGATATATTCATACCACATGTTGTAATATGCCCAGAAACAGAGGGAGAGAATGTTGATTTATACACATCGTCATTGTATGATTGGCATTGCAAAGTTATCTTGGATTCCTTCCAGCTCCACACAGTTAACAGGCGGTCAGGCTTTCCTCCTTGCGAACACAGCGTCTCTCCATCTGGGCTGAATAAAATATACAGCATGAAAGAGCAAGTACCATTCTATTGTATAAAATTTTTGCGTTTTACACGTCTCCTAAATCTGAGTATGAATTACATGAAGTTATTTCACATTCTGAGTTTGTACTATTAAATCCTGTTAACCTGAAATTCTAAATTCCATTTCATTCAAAAGTGTTACAATATTTGAAGAGTGCCTTGAATATCCTTGAATCTCTTTATGAAGTTGACTTTGGAGATGTGGTTTCAAAGAAGATGGCTGTCTTCTAGGTCGTAGCACCGTGCAGTCTGGTGGATGTGTACCGACATTCCGGAGCTACTTGCTGCCTCCATTTTATCAGTTACAACTGATGCCCTGATCACTTTGATCGTGGAGGCAGCAAGTACCTTTGAAACATTGGTAAACTTGTACTATGACTACACGGCAAAACAACCCAGAAAACAGCAATCTTCATGAAGATTTCTGTCTTCTGGGTTGTTGCACTGTGTAGTCTGGTTGATGTTAACCAACGTTTCAGAGGTCATACTGCCTCCGTCATCAGAGTATGAAGATTTCTGTCTTCTGGGTTGTTGCGCTGTGTAGTCTGGTCGATGTTTACCAACGTTTCAGAGGTCATACTGCCTCCGTCATCAGGGCGATGA